TACTTCCCTCTCTCTCTCTCTCTCTCTCTTTCTTTTCCCATTCGGCCGTTATATCTCCGCCTCACTTTCAACGAACCTGACGCAGTCACGCGCCATTGATCCCAGCTTCGTCTCTTAACGGTTGGACGTACGCGTGTCACGACATTTCTGCCGTTCCGCAACTTTGGGTCGCACATTGCTGTCCGGTTAGTTCGATCGCGCGGCGCGATTCGCGCGGGCTCGAGGATCCATGGCACGGATGTTTACTCACTTGTTGCTCTCCCTCCGGAGATGTGCGGCCAAAGCAAGAATTTTCAATAGATTCTCGCCCCGTTCTGGCAAGACCCGATCTGAATTATTTTATTAGATAGTCGAATCGGTGTTGAATTTTTCCTAGAGAGCGTAACAATTCATGAAGCGCCAAAAAGAAAAAAAAAAAAAAACGCGAGGGTAAACGATTTGGCAAACTCTATTATACAGGATATTCGCTGTAACTGATCATTTTGTAAATCATTAATAGGTTTTTTAGGTTGAGTGAAATATTTTTATTTAACGTGCCGATGTAGTTCATAAAAATAAATTTAACCACATAAATATGTTGACTTAAATGTGTGTGTGTGTGTGTGTGTGTGTGTGTGTGTATTTAAATGTGATTTTTTAATGAACTATATCACTATGTTAATATGCCATCCATTTAAAAAAATGTTGGTGATCTCGAAATTTCGTAAAATAATAGTTATTTAAAAAAATACTGCCAATATCATAATATTTTTCTCTTCGAAACGACCAACTTCTCTTCGGTATTTTTTGTATTAAAAACAACAGATGGTGTTTTCCAGTTAGTGACACAAGTCGACATAAATATCGTTTTGTTTTTGTTTCTTATTGAATGCCAAGAAAGATAAAACGATGTTTGTGTCGACTTGTGTCACTAAATGGAAAGCATCCAGAGTTATTCGAAATGCTCAAGAAACATCCTATCTTCAGTTTAGAATTAACACAGTCATGTTAAACTATTAAATATTCTGAAGCAGAATATGTTTGTAATATGTATTTTATAACTGAAGGAATAGATAGGAAGAATGTTGTTTCGTACGATTGCATTTTTTCACTTCATTTTAATAAAATGATAATAGTGATAATTTTTTTTAGCTTCTTAATAGCTGTGTTTTTCGACTACAAAAACTGTATAATAAAGTAATGCCATATGACTATAAAAACTGTATAATAAAGTAATGCCATATGTGATCAAAGTGTCTTCCCGCTACCGATTCGAACTATATTTTTAATCGAAATCGCGTCGCTCGCGTTTCCTGCTATGTACTCCGCACATAAAGATTGGCACGTGTATCTTGTATAAAAAAACTTTTCGCGCGCGGCCTTGAATGAAGCGATACTTGGGTACAGTCATCGAAACAACGATAACGATAATCTCTCGGAACCATAACGAAACTCGTGGCGAGACGATATTACGAGAAGGATACACATAATTATAGTCCTAGGCACGTGCGGTACGATAAGTCCAGATATCTAAAAATATGTATTAACAAAAATGCCGTCGCGCGATAGGCGCGAATTTTATCGACAATTGCGTTGGAAGTTTTTTACACCGATAAATTGTATTGAGCGATAAAACGGGATTAATTAGCGCGATTAAAAACTTTGCGTTAAATCATCACAGAGGTTCTACCGGGGAATGATAACATCGGGGAGTTTTTTTACGATGCAAATATAGTCCAAATAGCATTCGCATAATTGGAACGTATGTTAAAATGATTACGGCGTGCAATTAACATCCAACAGCAACAGAGGGGCGTGCATTTGATACGTGCATCCTTGCACGCACACGCCATGCAAAACGAAGTACGTTCGAGCGATTCTGAATCTCAAACCGTGAAGGACAAAGGCGAGCTTGGTGCTTTTAATAAAAATATTAAAATTGCATATCATAAACTAGTTTGAAAACACGGACAAGTAAAGCTATATAAATAAATAAGCTCTATATATATATTATTTTTTTTTTCTTCTGCAAGAGATACTTTTGATTGATATAACAGAAAGACTTTTGCATATAATTAAATGTCATTCCTTCCATTTTTTTGTTTACTTGAGATGTGTTTATTATTTTTAAAAGGAAACGAGAAGAAACTCTGATCGATATCAATGAAACAAAATTTCTAATTAAGCATTCTTCTCGCTCGAGCACCGCTGCCGCGGCTGCTACGAAAGCGAAAGAAGCCTCGCTATGGGCAGTGCGTGGCCTTACTTCCTCGAACGCTAATGAGGTATTACGTA